TCAGACTCAGCACAGCACTTCATGGATTGCCTGGCAAACAGAAGTAGCTTTCCCCGAGGCACAGCCTTCTCTGTAGACATGGTTGAGGTTTAACCAACACAGCAGAAAAGCAGAGAAGAATATCTGAATGTCAGCTTCCAGCCTCTTGAATGGCTGTTTAGGGAGACTCAGATTCCAGTGCAACAACCCTAACACAAGACTTGCATTTTCTAGCATGCACATAATACCACACTCCCCAATGGCTAGGGTTGTGTCTATGTCATTACAGCAATTGTAAGCACAGAGCAAGGAATGAAAGTGTAGGTGTGATTTTTTTGTTTGTTTGTTTGCTTGGTTGGGTGTTTTTTATTTGTTTGTTTTGCTGCCCCTGTTCTGCTGCACCTTCTAATTAAATGTAGTAACAGCAGACATTTGTGTGGGAAGATTTCTGAAAATTCAAGCCTTCAAATTCTCAGCTTCTAAAACCAGCATCACAGTGCCCCACATAGATTTCAAGTTCTTATAATTATTAAAATTACAGTCTACCTTGGACTGTGCAAATGCAGAATAAAGGGAAATAGAAATAAGAGATCCATTGCCCACCCCCAATGATTGGCTAGATCTCAGGAAACTACCAGTAGCCAAGCTGTCCTCTATTTAACCACTTCTAGATGGGTAACACACAGCACTTTCCACAGAAGACTGATATCAGAACATAAAAGAAGAGACTGTAGGATCTCAATGTTTTCTACCCATACAGGGCACAAGCAGTCTCAATAAAAGGGGATCTACATGAAGAGCAGAGAGGTTCATCGAGCAAGAAGAGCAGAACTGAACCCTTCACTGAGAAGCCAGATTAGATGTCTGAGTCCACAAAACGAGGCTATTATAATACTTGGAGGTCACTAAAGCAGTCAGTATTTTATTTGGTTTTGCAACAAATAACATAATTCTGATAATATAGACAGAAAATCACTACTACCAATCTCACCACCTTACAGGAAGTTTTATTACTTTACACCTTGCTCCAGAGCATATCCATACACCATAAATGAGTTTAACTACTCCCCTTAAAATCAGGCCCTTGACAATTTTTCCTTTAATTCCAGTGGAGCTACCACTGGATTAATATTTCTGCCAACACGGGACAGGACACTAGGTTCTGGTTTCAGCACTGTTTGCTTTGTGAGGCTCTGCTGGGTAACTGGCCCCATTGTTCACTACTGAGGCGGATAGTCTGAGTCACTTCTTGTAGAAAATCTGTTTTCTATTAAGAACTGTCAACCCCATGAGTCATTTACCTTTGTCACCAGTTGGAACCAAAGGAATGATGGAGGCCTGGGCACTGAAAGCAAAAGCTTCCTCTGGGAGATACTCAGGTTCATCTTCAGCATAGTTGAAAGCAAGAGAAGCTCCAGAAAGGACACACACAGATCTGAAGCTAATGGACCAGATGTGGGGAAGGAGTTTCTCCTGGCCCAGAAATAGGATTGAGAGCTATAATGGGTTTCTAGGGGAAAACATGCCTCAGAGACAACCCTGAGGCACTCACCAGGTCATGGGTGGGACCCCGTTCCCCATAGGAGTTAGCTTGTACTTCCAACCTTAAATTACTCCATGGAGATCATATTCACATGAACAAACTTCTTAAATGTTATAAGTCACATCATGTGTCCAACATGAAACTCTGAGCTCCTCTTTTACTGCTTCTGCAGTCTGGAACATCACGCATTTGCAGGGCATCACCACAATTTCTTTTCCACTCCATGACCATATGTTTCCAATTCCACTTTGATCTGCAGAAGCCAGTGCCTGAAGTAGCGGAGTGGACAAAGACTGTGGCATTGCACAGTTGGCTTTACCCACAGCTTGTCATCTGGCCTTCCACACGTCTTCAATCTGACTTTGCAAAGACCCTAAATGCCCCAGTGGCATGGCCTTACATTCTGAACATACACCCAGCTCCCCAGATATGTTCACCCCATGTTTTGTCCTACACAGAACCTCACCTTAGGAAATCAACTCACTGAAAAGAAGCTTGTGCCACACCAGTAATAAATGATAACACCTTCGTTCATGTATTGATCCATCTGCTTTAGCCAAGGTCTGAAGAAGTGGAAAGCAGTGGTTGCCTGTTTTCCACTCTTCATTGTTTAATCCTCCCCTGTCTGGTGGGAACTGAAAAGTTCCAGAGCTTGCACAGACCCCTCTGGGTTGTTTCACCATTATCCTTCCTTCTTCCTCCAAATCACAGGCATGCCATCCAGGACAAAGGCTAGCCCTTTTCTGTCAACAACAACAAAAAAAAAAAAAAAGGATCTAAATCCATTCCTGCTGCAACACCCTCCTGATCTGTGAGGCACTGAGTTCTGGGAGAAAAGCTGCCTGGTGGCCTGCTCATTGAAATGCCTGCATCTGCAGCCTGTCGGTGGGTGGGATTCCCTTCATGGATGGAGAAAAACCCTGTCTGAGAAAAGATAATAAATGGAGAAGAGTCCAAGATGCAAAACTGGAATCAATACTGATGTCCTTAGAACTGCTCATCTGCTCCCTCCTGTAGGAGCATTGAGACCGCTTCTGAATGAAATGGGTGCCTGCTGGCATAAAGACCCTTGCAATGGGTACAGCCAGAGGACATCAGACTGGGTCCCCGGCCCTTCAGGGGCCAATTTCAAGTGATGTGAACCCACAGTCTTGCTAGGTTTGTTTTCAGCCTCCTCAGGACGTGAGGATATGTGCTTTGACTGTGGCTTCATGAAGGTGAGTGTATATAGAAACACGTCTCTGTTCTCTCAACCCCTGTGCTAGTGGCAGCTAAAGCTGAGATAAACTCCCACAGGTATATACAGGGCTTAATGAAAATCAGCATTCACACACAGACAAGAAACTTGGCAACTTCTTTCACCTAAAGGAAGGCCATGACAAGAGCTCCAACTTTATTAATGACCACTGGGGTCACCTGGAAGAAGATTTATGAAGGTTCCAGCTAAGACAAATTGGTCTTCTTGGTTGGGGGAATCCAGTCCCAGCCCTGGAGGAGCCTCTGGTGCTTTGTAAGGTAGAAGCTCACATGTAGCTTCTTGTCAGATCCAGCGAAAAGAATAAACCAGCCTTGAAACATGCTGAAGACCAGACATTCTGGATCCCTGTGTGCAAAAAAAATTGCGTGGTGTTTTGTTTTGTTTTGTTTTGTTTTGTTTTGTTGTTTTGTTTTGTTTTGTTTTTGTTGTTTTTGTTGTTTTGTGGGGTTTTTTTTGGGGTGGTAGCAAGGTTTTTTGAGCTGTAAGACTTCTCATGGCACATTTTCAGGCCTTTTCTTTATATCCTTGAGATTTTAAAAAATCTCTTTTAGCTAAGACAAAGTTTATTTTTAATAAAAGTGTAAAAGAAGATGGAAGTAAATGGAAGACAAAGTGGATAGATAAAGTGGTTATAATAATCACTTAACTCCAGGATCCAGGATTTGAAGGTAACTAGGATTAAACAATTTGGTTAATCCCATTCACTATCTGTTAATTCAGCCTTGAAATAAAGGTCATTAAAAGCACTGACAAGTATCTTCCCAAAATAAGTTTATCTGGATTTCTCTCTTGCCTCACACTCTGTGAGAAGATCAGCTCCTGCAGAAAACATTAAAGAGCCATTAAGGAGCAAGAGATTCCTGTAAACTTTTCCATAAAAATAGTACTCAGGATGTGAGCCAGATGCAGAACTGAGCACTGCAGAGATAACCTTTTGGAGATGTTGAATATGCCATCCCCAGAAGGAGATTTCATGTTCCTGATGATAACATCCCTTTGCTATCAAATGACATAACACTTATGGTGCATCGGTTGGAGAAATTATAAAAGGAGTAAAAAGGTTTGGCATTCATCATCAAAAGGGAAAGAATTGTTTCGATGATACGGCCATTTTCAGGCTGACATAAAAACCAGATTATGAGTTACACAAGTAACATAGAATTATATGCAACAACATATACCAATGAGTGGGTTGTGTGTGCTCTGTGTAATTTACTGCCATCTTATTGATGTGGTCAGATTGGAGTATTATTTGTAGGCATATTACAAATCTTTGCTGGCTTTGAGGAAAGGAAACATTTATATTGGCTAGACATTTGGGATAATAAATCAAAAACTCAGCAATCCATTAAAACAACGTAGATAGGAACCTGAAGGCAGATTTCTGGACAAATTACAGCGCCCTGATCTTACTTCTGTTAGAGAGAAATTGAGCAACAGAAGGGCAGGGAACTTGAAAGACTGATGGTGTTATTTCAAAGACTTCTTTGAATGGAGAAAATGGATCTTATCTCACAGTGGGTGGATGCAGATGCTGTACAGTTGCCTGATGAATTTCTGCTGTGAGAAGCAACGGGGATGAAACTCCCCAAGTGACAAAGGGTCTCCTTCACCCCCGTCTATATCCTGTCCATTACAGGAGGATCGAGGGAAGGTCAGGGAACATGATACCAAATTTCAGATCATGTAGGATAGATTTGGTCTGAACTGAGGTCTTCACCTGGCCAGAAGGTTTCAAGGAACATATGAGGGAGTTTTCAGCTATCATCTACATTAATAGCAGCATGTACCACGTGTGCCATGACCACAGCAGGGAGATCTGTCTGAAAGTCTTGAGTGAGGTAGACTTGAAATGGGGGAAAGGGAAGCCCAGACTCCTACCAGATGTGTTGGGAAAGTCTTAACATGTGCCAAAATGCACAGCCAGGCCAAGGCTCTTCACTGCAGCTGGGGTGAGACAGGAAAAAGTGGACCAACAGCTCTCTATGGCAGCACTGTGATTGAAATCTTTGGTCCAAAACCCAATATTGCTTGCGCCTGTGCCTGCGTAATCAGCAACCACTCCGAGAGGTGACACTGGTATGGAAGAGCTTCTCCATTTGAAGTTTGACCTTATAAATGATTTGTAATGAGCCTGGACCATTATTACATCCTCCAGGCCAATGTTTTGAAGCCCCAGGAACTGACAGTGGAAATTGCATGACTGATTTGCTGGAGATTCTCATGCTCATTATTTTTAGATCATCTGTGTGTGGTGCAGTACTTACCTCAGTTTAGTATGAGTCAGTTGGAATCAACTACTCCATTATGTTGTAGAAAAGCTCTTATTTTCTCTCAAAACTCTGGCAAAGAAAGCAACAGAGCACTGTCAGCCTCCTTGGCTCTAAGTGATAACTGAACTACAAAGTGCTAAAAGTAAGGGAAGAACCGAGCTATAAAAAACTTTGTAGGTACAACACACAGCACTGTGGCAGTGTGGAAATAGATGGGGCTTTTTAGATTAACAGACTGACAGGAGCTACAAAAGTGCCAGAAATAGTGGTGCTACTGTTAAAAGAAAGCAAAGGGTGGTGCAATTGAAGCTCAATGGATAAAATTTGGTGTTTTTCAATGTTGAGTTAAAATCTATAAGAGGAGTGCATAAGGTAAATGCTTAATCATTAAAATTATAAATTAGAAAACATTATAATTTGGAGAAAATTATAAATTGGAGAACAATACTTGGGGAATAGCACTTACTAATAATCTGTTAGGCTCTCAATCGCATGGTAAAGGGTGATAATCAGAAGTTCAAAAGGATTGAATCAGTTGAGGAAGAATTTAAGGATTTTGTTTTTTTCTGAGAATAAAGAATTTCCCTGCACACTATAGAACGTTACTGGTTGATTGATGCTTTCTGATGGGTTCCCATTATCTAAGAGCAGAGTCTAGAAAAGGAGTTTGATGGCTTTGGGGTATCAAAGCAAAAACAAAACAAACAATGCAGATAGATACAATCACTGTTTCTTGTTTTGAAAAGATAAAGAAGGAAAAGAGGAAGAAGGAAGGGAAGGGAAGGGAAGGAAAAGGGAAGGAAGGGAAGGGAAGGAAGGGAAGAAGGAAGGGAAGGGAAGGGAGGAAGGAAGGAAGGGAAGGAAGGAAGGGAAGAAGGGAAGGGAAGGGAAGGAAGGAAGGGAAGGAAGGGGAAGGGAAGGGAAGGAAGGGAAGGAAGGAAGAAGGGAAGAAGAAGGAAGGAAGGAAGGAAGGGAAGGGGAAGAGGAAGGAAGGAAAAGGAAGGAAGGAAGGAAGAAGGAAGGAAGAAGGAAGGAAGGAAGGAAGGAAGGAAGGAAGGAAGGAAGGAAGGAAGAAGGAAGGAAGGAAGGAAGGAAGGAAGGAAGGAAGGAAGGAAGGAAGGAAGGAAGGAAGGGAAAATAAGGAGAGAAAAAAGGGGAAGCTAAAACCTTGTGCTTATTAATAATTCCCCCAAAAAACTAAATAAATATGGATAAAGGAAAAAAAAATCTATTTTTTTAGAGGAAAGGAATCTCTATGAGAAAATGCTTCTGTTTTTATGCCTAATGCAAAACAAAACCCTGATCTGCATTTATCACCGCTAAACTACGGAATGTCTCTACTGAAGCATGACATCCCTAGATATTTTTCAATGGAAAATGAAAAAAAATGTGGTCTTAGAAAGTGATGTTAGACTCATAAGTTTTATGGAGATGTACAAAGACAGAAATATTTCCGTGTATTTGAAGTCCTAGGATCTGTCACTGCTTCTCAGAGGCTATGATGAGAAACAACAGGAACATCTCTAATGTCCCATGGGACAACCTTTGTTGGCCATGTGAAGACTTTTGCAATGGTAAAAGTAGGAAAGAATCATGGTCCTCAGAATATAAACTGGGTGGAAAGTCTTTTAGCTTATACAATAGAATAGGAATGATTCATTTTTGATTCAGGATAAAAGTAAGCACCAATGAACCCTTTTTGTTGTATTAACATATTGGAGGGCAGTGGGTTCACAGGCAGCTCTGGATGCTCTAGGAATGGATGGTGTTTAATTTGTGATGAGATGGAAATGGGCTTAGATTAACTTGACATAAAAGACTGATGAGATTTCGGGTTAAACATGACAATCACAAAAGGTGTGGACTTAATGATCTTCTGTATAGAAGAGTTGTACAAACGTCAATAAACTGATGGTTATCCAATACAGAAAGATATTCTAATGTCCTGTTAAGTGCAAATGAATATGGAAAAGCTTTGTAGCATTAACAAAAAGAAAAAAGTTGCAGTAATAGTACTTCCTCATTCTCCTGGACACAATTCCTTTAACTCTTGGATTTCATTCTCTTGTTTGGAAAAGGAGATTGCATTAAGGGAAAAAAAAAATAAAAATGTACTGAAATTGCTAGCAAGACTTTTCTTCTTTATGTCTGTTTCTTTGCTTTTGCTAACAATGAATACTCCTACTCTATATTTCTGCTTAACTAAGTCCAGGTCTATAATCTTTAATAATAATAATTCAAATGAAAACTAATGTTTTCAAGTCCTAGAAGCTGGTACGTAAAGTGCTCACTCTCACAAGGCCAGAGTGCCACAGGAGGTGTCACAAGAGACACAGGTTTATGTGGCAGCTCACTGCACCCCAAGAATTAACTTGAGTGCTGACTGTTGCTAGTTTCCTTGGTTAAAGGTATTGTCATGAGAAGCTGCAATTCCTAATTATATTAATTTGAATCGTCAGTTACTGTTACGTCAGACTGGAAAAAGCAGATGCAGGGAATTGTTCCTTTAACAGAGTCTGGCACAATCCAGCTGGAAGGGCTGCTTCCATTAGGCAGAGCTCATGCTGTGCAGTGTGGAAGAGGTAAAGCTTAGACCAGTCAAGGTGACCTCTGCCAGACATTTTGGCTTTGTTTTGTAATAATTCAGATAAATGAATGTCTGAAAACAGAATTTCTACCTGCAAAAGCAGTGTGCTGCATAGAACAAAAGATGATGCATTAGGCTTAGTAGCAATGAACACACCGTTTAACTCTTGCAAGATCACAGATGAAATGGAAAATGACCCCAAAGTGTAAACAAGAGAGGTTATTTTAACAGTCTGCTTCAGCTTTGGGAATACCTGCGTCAAATGTTAAGATCTTTCTGGTCACAAGAGATTGGTTGGAAGGGATTCTAGGTTATTTAAACCCTCCAGATGGATCCTGAAAGATTTTCAGACACTTAAAGATTCGGCCAATTTTCAGCTGAGAATGAAAATGGAAATAGTTCTGTGAGGAAATATCTTAAGAAAAGATGGGTTATACCCAACTTTAAAGTAGTTAAAAAGCAAGGGATTGACATTTTTTCTCTGTATAGCTTACATTATGTTCTGTTTTGAAGCTCCTCGAATTCTTCCAAACTACTAGCCAAAATACAGGCTTTTATTGTCATATTGAAAAATAGCCAAGAGCTGATGCATAAAAGTAGACAGTGGACTTTTAACAATTTTCAGAGGGGTATTCTCAAAGAAGTCCTACAGACTTTATCACCGGCCCGGGACCTAACAGTTCTGAGCCCAGCTGCATTGCATCCAAGCTCCATGAACTGGCTTCACTGTTTGCCAAAAACTGGGGATAGATTCAGTCTCTAACCATTTCACACAGCAGTTCTTATATTGCTCCTCTCTTCTACCAGAAAGAGAGGAGGGCCATATCTCTTACACAGAAAATTTGCCAAAAAAAAAAAAAAAAAAGAGCTATTTAATTTTAAGAGGAATAAACCCTCTCCGGGCAGCTATTAACAACCACCTCTTAGAGTGGCTGATGCCTTTTTTTTTTTTTCTTTTCCCCCTTTTTCTTTAAGCTTTTGGGTTTCACCAAAACTGCAACACAGTTTTGAAGCTGACTCTGTTTCCTATAACTGTTTCCTATAACTCTTAAACTGTGTCTTGGGCCAGATTCTCAGCTGAACTAAATCAATTTACCTCCACTGACCTTAGAAAGATATCTATCAGATAGATACCACCTAAACACCTGTCTCTTCCAAAAGATTCTGCTGATTTACACAAAGAAGTGTCTGAATCAACAGGTCTCAAATCCCTTCTTTGCTTTTGAGGTAGATCTTGGGCTTCCATTGAAATTCAGCTTTGTCTGGGAGCATCTCCTGGTAAGCCTGGCCAGCAGCACTGGGACAGAAAGAAAATCAAGCCTAATCTTGAAAGCAAGTACCTTCCATGGGATTAATTTGGGAGCACTTTCTGTACAGGAGTCCAAATCTGCTTGTCTTTCTCAAAATTGTTTTAAATGTCTTTTTTTTTCCCCTGTAGATAATGTCAGAGGAAAAAATAAATAAATAAATAAAGTGAATATACAGTCAACTAACTCAGCTATCCCTTCACACTCCCTTTCTTATTTGGAATGCAGGTACAATGTCTGTTGACCTTACCAGGATAATTTTTTAGAAGAAATCCTCAAAAGATCAGGCTTTTGATTAATCCCATCCATTGCTTCCTTATATAACAGATCTGCATTGACTTAGGCATTCTGGATACAGAAGCAAAGGAGGAAGTGGTGAATGCAGAGCCATTGTCATGTAGTCCACTTCATAACAAATATCCAGTTCAGCTAAAAATAAGAACATCGAGAAATTAATAAATACATAAAATAAATAAATATGAAGCTATATTTTATGCAAGCTTTTTTCATGTCACATAAAAGAGAAAAAAATAATCCATCTTGATGTGAGATAAAGGTTGATAATATTCCTGGGGAAGATTAAATTACAGGCTATACTATATACTTTGAACTCTGAGGCCAGGAGGCTCCTTCTAATTGTAAGGTTGATGCAGGTGAAAATCTCCATAGGTCTTGAAGTCAATTTTATTTCCCCGACAGGAACACAACTCCTGGTCTTACACCATCCAAGCTCTGTGGCGGTACTCATATATATGAGGATTAAAATATTGCTTTGCAAATGAATTGCTCTTATTGAAGCAGAATGGCAGGGATGACAAAGTAAAAGCAGCCTCCTCATGTCTCTGCAGGGCCATGTCCTCATATCCTAGACTTGAGACAAGAACTCACAAGACCAAGGTTTAAGACTATATGGCCTACGTCTGGACTGTAGGCCAAATGTATGGCCTAGGTCTGAAAGTTAATGAGAGTCAGTCCCAGGACAAATCATTCAGCTTCCACAGTTTATGCGTTCAGGTCCTAAGTTAAGAAGTGGCATTTCCTCTGCACCATGCAGCTTTCATCCCTATCTACAAATGATGTGTGGGAAAAGCATCAGGGTAACTTTCATCAGGGTAATTTTGAGAGGCAACTTTCTTTTGCTTATGAGCTTTCCTGCTAAGACTTTGCCCCAGCTAAACCTACACCTGAGCCTCCTCTCAGAGCTGACCATGCATCACGCTGTGCTGACACATACAGTCAAGCGAAGGATCACGAGGCAGCAGAGGGGCTGTGCTGCTGCCATGTGAGGCCAAAGTCAATTACATGGGTCATGGCACATGGCACAAGTGTAAAATCTGAAGTCTAATACAGACCAGGAAAGTTTCTTCCCACCTAACTCTGTGTAGATACCTACAGATATTCCGGGGCAAAAATAGTCCCTGTGAGGAATTATTCATCCGATCAGGAGGTGTCCAGTGATGTTTCTGGCATTGAGGGAGAGCTTGTCTGGCCTCATCTGTCTTCTCCTGAAGGATATCAGTCTCCTTAAATCATATCTCTGATCATCCTCATGGCCATCCTCTGGGCTCACTCTAATATTTCCATGTCCTTCTTGTGCAAGGGTCCCAGAGCAGAATGCAGCACTCCAGGTGGGGCCTCAAGAGAGCAGAGCAGAGGGGGATAATCACCTTCCTCCACTGCTGCCCACTCCTCTGTTGATGCAGCCCAGGATGCAGTTGGCTGTCTGGCCTGCAAGTAGTACCTTTCCTGGATTTTCCTACCTCTTGAACCTTTTTAAACTTCTAGCATCCACACTGTCTTCAACAAGAAGTTTCATAACTTTGCTGTGCTTCATGTGAAAAATGATGTTCTTTGGCTTCTTCTAAATCCATTACCCAGCAATTTTATTTGATTTCTGAAGTGCTGGTGGCGCAAAAGACAATGAGTAATAGTTCTCTAGTCACCTTCCTCGGGCCATTTAGGATTTTATTAGACTGCTGGAGCAGGTTCAAACATAGTGCATTCAACACCTTGCCCAGTTTTCCATCACCCAACAGGCTCACAGGCAGCTTTTGTGCTTATATTTAATGACATCCTAATAAACTGGTCATACTCAGGTGCAAGGAAATCCGTAGTTCTCTGAAGGGCACTTTCTAGCTAGGACTGAGACTCTGTTTGCAGAAATTCAATATGGAAAGTCAGGAGACCAGGGCTTCAGAGCAGTTTTGGGTCTTGACTGTGGAAACAGAAATAGCCACAGTTAGAAAAGACAGGAAAAGTGATTTATAGAATCATAGAATCATTGAATCATAGAGTGGTTCGGATGGGAAAGAACCTTAAAGATCACCTAATTCCACCCCCCCTGCCATGCACAGGGACACCTCCCACCAGCCCCAGCTGCCCCCAGCCCCATCCAGCCTGGCCTTGGGCACTGCCAGGAATGGGGCACCCACAGCTCCTGGGGGCAGCCTGCACCAGGGCCACGCCACTCTAATTGTAAAAAATTTCTACCTTACAGCTAATGTAAATCTACCCTCTTTTAGCTTAAAGGTGTTATCTCTTCTCCTATCACTACATGTCCTTGTAAAGAGTCCCCTCCAGCTTTTCTGGTGGCTCCATCAGGTATTGGAAGGCCCCTATAAAGTCTCCCCACAGTCCTCCAGGCTGATCCCCAGCTCCCTTAGCCTTTCTCTCCAGAAGACCTGCTCCAGCTCTCTGAGCATCCTCGGGACCTCCTGTGGACCCACTCCAACAGGTCTCTGTCCTTCTTGTGCTGGGGGCCCCACAGCTGGCTGCAGCACCCCATGTTGAGTCTCACAAGGATGGAATAGAGGGGGGATCAACTCTATTAACCTGCTAGCTACACTTCTTTTCACTTCTTTTGATGCAGCCCAGGATATGGTTGGCTTTCTGGAGCTCACCACAGAACACCCACTGACCTGAGTGCAGGACAAAAGTAGTCTGAGATTCAAAAGTGTGCATGGATTTGATTTAGAACAGGAATCCCATCCTCATTAAAAAATATCACAATATCTGAAGTCCTTGACTCCCTTTTCCCTGTTATCCTCACCACATCAGTGGCTGGACTGTTGGGTCCCACTCCAGTGGGTGGAGGTTATTTTGCAGATTTCAGACACATGAAAACTTCTCATCTTGTGCTATGAAGTCAATGACGCGATAAATCAATTTGGACTCTTGCTGTGGCTGGAGGGGAGGAAACTGGATGAAAGAAGAAAACAGGACTCTGTGTTGTTGTTTTGTTTTGTGGTTGTTGAGGTTTTTGTGCTTGTTTTAAACTACCCTTCAAGATTTTGATGCAAAAGGTTGAAATGTGTAGATAGTTCAGACAAAGCACATGTTTAGATTAAAATAAGAACACATGCTAAATCTTTCAGTCCATAGCCTTAGTCACTTTTCCTTCTATGATAGTAATAGCATAAGCCAGTAAAACACCATCACACAAAAAAAGTTCATGGTAAAATGCTCACCTCTTTTTAACACCTTTTTCAATGCTTGGAAGGCAAATCCATTGTTGGAACTCATGGAAGCCCTTTCTTGTAGGACCAATGTGGGAGGAAGAACTTTGGCTTCAAATCCATGTCCTGACACAGAAGCCACCATTCTTTTAGTACTTTCTAAATGCCATACATAGACTTCATGCTAGCTAGGATATGAAGAGTTCTGGAACAATATCCCTTGTTTTGCTGCCTTCTGGGTTCTAAAGTTACATCAGAAGTTTATCAGCCTTGAGATGTTTGGAACAAACCATGCTGGACTCATTGAATGGGTATGTCCCAGAGTAATGTTGCCAAGTTAGAAAATTCATTGCACTTTCTACTCTCATTAGGAACATTCTTCCTTTCGCAAGAGAACACTGTGTATGAGAAGCTAGCTGCTCCCTTACATATGCTCTAGAAAATCTGTTTCTATGAGAAGCAAAGAAAACCTACAAAAGAGGGAAATTGCATAATAGTTGTAGGTCTACTGACCAGAAGAGAAATGCCAAAGATAGCTCTATCTAAAATCTTCAGGGTATGACAATCACCCACAGTTGGCAGTCTAAAATGAGGGGATAATATTTCTTCCAGGCCTCCCACTAAAATATGCAGCAACCCCACACAAGGCTGTGGTTTTTTTATTGGGAACCCTTTGAAGCCATTCATCTTGCTACAAATGAACTGTGGCATTGTTACTCCTTGTAAAGAGACAGAGCAAGAAAGGCAAATACCTTCTGATAATGACAGTGCTTCTTTGTATTTTGGCCTCATGACACCCCCAAGGACTGATAAAGTCAGTTACCACCACAGTTCAGTTGCAATCACCATGAAAGGTCCCATTTGATTATTGTGAATATTACAGCAATGACACTGGGGAAGTCACGCATTTTGTAGTGCACAGGGCCCTCCAGGAGCAAAGAGAAGATTCCCCACCCTGCTGTGGGCATACAATCAGAACTGATTGCATCTCCTTTCTTTACTTTGTGATCACCACAGAAAAGTCAGACGAGTTCTTGATTTAGATATCTGGTTTCAAGAGCTTAAGTCATACCAGCTCTATCGACTGACGCAGTTGCTTAATCCGGGGTACCCACTGATACTGGAGATGCCCCAGGATATTCCACCCAACTTCCAGATGGTGCTCTAACATGAGGACATGAGGCTCTCTCACACATACTGTGTCATATCTGCCAGTCCCATGTAGAGCTCTTAGAAGTGTCACACTCCAAAAAATATTTGTGTTTAGGGAATTGCATTGAGACCATCCACCAGTGGTTCAGTGATTGTCATTAAGGACGTGAACAGTGAGAGTCTCTAATTCTACATACTAGAAATAGAAATACCGTATATTCTTATTCTAGCCATTGCCAAATATATCAGATGAACTCAAGACTGTCAGTAAAGAATATGTTGTGTGCAACAACCTTGCATTGGGAATGAAGACATGAAAGCAATATTTCCTGTTGTCAGTAGTTTTTTTAAATTATTTTGCACATTCATCTATGTCAAGAAACAAGTATTGTTACATGGATTTCACACAAGTATAGAAGCTAGGATGCAGCCTGTCAGCTCTTGATGCCAATGTTGTTCTTCTTTACTGCTCAAAGTACTGACAAAGCCTTTGGAACTAGGAGATTCATCTCAAATTTTCTATCGGTTTATCATTTGAAAGCCACAACAGTCAAGCTAGATATAAAAGCTAAACAGAAACATTCAGACACTCATCTTTCCCTTGGAATAAGTATTGAAGTGTCTTTATGAATCTGCTCTGGGTCCACTTCAGCACCTGCTTTGTCTTGTTCCAGCCTAGGCAGTTCCTCCCAGACGTGACTCCCCAGACCTTCCAGCTGGTCAGAGCTAGAATGACAGCTTCAGGGGAAAGACAAGAACAAAGGCTGTGTTTTGGACACCAAACCAACCTAGGGGATATCAGCTGACTCTGCCTGCAAACTTATCATCAGCTGCTACTATGACACCCTTAATGAAAGTGCCAGAGAGCTTGCAAACATGATAATGTGGCACCTCAACGTCATGGACTGTATGTCTAAGCATTTTTACATGACTGATTGTTCACTGCTGACCCCATGCTGTTTGTTGATCTAGGAGATACTACTCAATGAGTACACAGTCTTTTCATGACCAGAAGTGTCCAGAAAGGTCCAGCTTTCACACCATAGGTGAGTCACCAATGTCCCAGGAATACTGTTTTGGAGAAACAGAATCTCAGACTCTTTCACTGACTGTTTCAATTACCAGATTTTTATCAAACCTTGTTTCAAAGACTTAAACCAGCATCTACTTGGAGAATAGTGACTTAATCCCTTTGTGTTTCAAGTCCCCAGCTGGGGACTGAGGGTGATGCTACACACTCTGTTTGGGAATTCATCAGAGGTTGCGTTTCTGAGCCCATGTTCATGCAGCACCTGACTCAACAAAGCCACTGAGTGCCAATGTAATGCAAAGAGCTGCTTGCAGTAAAAAGTGATAAACAGTTTGTTGTCCTTTGTTCCCTTCCAAGAGCTGTTTATTCAATTCTGAATAGTTAAGTAGAAATATTTAAAAGAAACTGCAGACATATATTACAACAAAAGTCAGCCGGTCATTTCAACCAAAATGATTAATGCCAAAGCTGAATCTGTCAGTCTATTATTATGTCTCACTTGATTAATCCAAACCTCATCAAAGCCCGTTCAAAGACTCCTGCTGACTTTTGTGGGTTTTGGATAAGCAGTTCTGTAATTTTCCCAAAGCAAACAAAACCAACATGATGAAAGAAATCTGAAGAGAGAGGAGACACACTGAGACCAAAGCTAGTCATCGAGCATCTCCTATTCATGGGAGCAACTTTATCCCATAGGATGTCAAGAAAAACTGTTTGGAGATATGAACAAATTTTGAAAGGCAGACTAGAGCCTTCAGTCCATAAACTTGTAAGTGAGAAGGATTCTGTGCAATTCTTCCTTTGGGAAGCATGGGGATAGTTTTCCCCAGATAAAAGTATGTGCTTACAGGCAGTTACCAGGATCAATTGAATTGATCCTAGCTCTCAACATCCCTTGTTGTCTGGTGGCTTTCCTACATGTCTTCTGCAGTACCTTGGTCACATCTTCCAGCCTTCTATAGGTTTCTCATATACCTTCAGTATATGGACATATCTTGGTCATATGAGTGTGGGACACAGGTTGCCTTAGAGTGGTCAACCACATCCCATGGCAAGTAGCCAGATGCACACACAAAGAGTTGATGTCATTTCTTTATAACCCTAAAGAACCTAAACATATTGAATGCATCAGCTACTCTATATAGTCCTTAATGAAAGATGGGAATTAAAGTTTCTTCTGATCACCTTGTAGCATGAAAAGGTCACAGATGAAACACAGGCTGGTTAATTACCTAACAAAGGTGTTTTGTTCACATAACTGGAATTTGGTAGTTTCTGAAGGGTCAGTGACCATAGCCTGATAACAGTCCCTACAGGAAAATAGAAGTGTTTTAATCCATTATTTATGCCCCTGTTACTTCTGAAAGGCTTCTTGTCTCCAGCCTCCAGAAGAATAATGAGCAAAATTGATTCAGAGGAAGAAAAGCAAGTGGAAAATGTAAATCAAATCTGGGAGATTTTATTAGATATCTAAAAAAGTGTGATTTCACAAGGACAGACGGCAAAGTAAAAGCAGAAAAAAATAGAACTGAAAAATCAATATGAAATAAATGAAAAAATAGAAAAAACAAAGAATAAAAGTGGGAGATTTTGAGTTGCAGAGGTAAATAATAGAGTTTAAGAACCTGGAGGATTGCTGTTTGAGGTTTATTTGAAAGACCTTTTGAAGTAAATCTGAAACAAATACAAACAAACAAACAAAAATGGTTATTGCCAGAAGCAGTAAAACTATGCTTAGTGATACAAAAAAGACAAAATTCTTCAATATGACTGTAGAAACCCTTAGAAAATATTTTGCAGTTTGAGGAAGTGAAAGAGCTTAATCTTTTCCTTTTATCAAAAATACTTGTTCTGTTGCTCTTTCAACCCAAAGTCATATGTTTTTCTGCAAGGTATTCACAAGGCTGTTACTGAAATCAGGGCAGGACTAATTTGAAGAAACTCTGGCCCTAGCTGGAGCAAGGTTAGGATGAGTTGTTCCTGTGGTTCCATGGATTTAAACTTTCTGTGCAGTTTTCAGCCTACACTTTTCAAAAGTGCTTTACAAACAGAACAGGGAGATAGTCACACCTTGATGGTAGTCCGTGAACTTTGGATAAGGGACTCAAAGGAAGATGAATGACTACTGAGAACTGCCAGTCTGTGTGCACAAGGAGTGATGTTCATATCAAGGAGGTGGAACTGGATTGCCTGAGTGGATGGTCAAGCAATTCCAGCACGTGCTCTCATGCTTCCTGCAGGTATATGCATCCCACAGCCCAATGGTGCTTTCCCTCATCTGAGAGCAGAGACTGCTTGTTTGCATCTTCCTCATCACTTCTGCCTAGAGAATAAAATGTGATCACGCAAGTCAACTGTGAAAGTCTTGTAGGAAGAGTAAAATGCCAACATATGAGGGATTTGAAGTAAGGAGTTATACTGACAGTGACTAGATTAAGGGAGTGCATGCAGTCAGTTGTGCTGACTCAGCTGAACAGCAATATCTCCTAAGACATGAACTCCTTAATTTGCAGCAGTCCTGCAGTTTCCAGGGTCACAGAATAATACCTCTCTGAGTAAAACATTCTTCCCCTTTTATCGATTAACATTGATTAGTTTGTTTCCATTTTTTTTCTCCAAACTATTTTTTTTTGACATAGTATTTTCAGTTCCATCACAAGCATTCTTTTCTCTTTAAGAA